GCTGACTGGCAGAACCAACTGGACTGAACAGAACTCCTACCTCATTAATGGACAGAATCACACAGCAGGATATGTGTGCAGAGCAGGAAGAGGAGAACCAGTTTTTTACACTGAATACAGTGAAGCAAAGTTTGTCTGGTCTGCAGGTCAGTTTATCTTTGTTCTTTCAGGGGATTTTTTAGCTTCATTGTGAATTGTTTTTTTCAACATCTTGTGTTGTACTTATCATACTGCCAATTTGATTACAAACAAAACTTTTCTATAGAAAGTAACTCTATTTTAAAATAAATGTTGGATAACATTTTTTTTTTTTTTTATCTGCGACTTTCTTATTTATCATTCAAGGTAGTTAACACAGCATTTCCCCTGGTCTATTCAATGTTGGTTAGAGTTATGGGAAAAGAATGAAAGCAGGTCTTAGAGGTTTGAGTATATTTATGTTCATGCATTTAGCAGATATTTGCACTATTCTCTAAAATCACCCGGAAACTTGGCAGCACATCTTATTTTATCTTGCAAAAAGAAACAAATAACATACTTATTATTATTATTTTTTACAAGGCTAATGAGAAAAATCCAAAATCTATCCCCATAGGTTTGGTGATGTAATATTTGCAAAGCAGCATATTATCATTTTTGCTTATTGGTTCAGGTCCTGATTGGCAAAACTTGATACATGTGCATGACATTGCCTATTCTAGATTGGATTCTAGATTAGATTCAGAAGAACACCAGAGTCACTTTTAAACAGGGTTTTACAAATCTTAGATTAGATTTGAATTTACTGTAGTTTATTTTATTAAAATATTTTATATAGTAGTTTTTGTTAACTCTTCTATATTTTCTAAATGTAAATCATTAATGTTTTATATTTCTTTAAAAATATATAATTTTATTTAGGATCACTTTTATTTATTTTCTGTCTTTCAAAAACTTAATTCTAACCTAATTCTAAACACATTTGCTAAAAATTATTTTCTATAAATATTTAAATTTTTTCATGTTATGCTTTTTTTCAGACTCTCACCCAGCTGCTTCTCTCTCAGTGACTCCAGACAGAGTTCAACATTTTATCAATCAGTCTGTCACTCTGAGCTGTAGTCGGAACAACACTGAGTGGAAACTGAGGAGGTTTAAAAAAATAGGTTGGCTGTCATACACTGTTTGCTCCAACTGGGGGACAATGACTGGATCCTCATGTTCTATAAACACAGACTGGTCTCACAGTGGAGTGTACTGGTGTGAGTCTGGATCAGGAGATTTTAGCAACGCAGTCAACATCACTGTACAGAGTAGGTTATGATTAATGATATTTGCTTCCACCTTTTCCTGCGTTTAAATTCTTAGTAAACCTAAAAGTTGAAATTAAAATTTTGAATATATTTAATATTTATTCATATAGATATATCGTTGCTTAGCCTACTTTGACTATTATTTTATTTCAATCAGTACTTAGGACAAAAAATAAATAAAAAAAAGAATAAATAAAAATACGATGCTTGTTAAATATAGAACTTTATATTCAGTTTGTAATTTAGGGAGAGTAAAACAAGAATGTTTCAAACAAAATAGCCATTTTAACAATTCCAAAAAACGTCACACTCATGTCCAATCTCAAACTGCCATAGAGATTTCTGTTAGTTCCTTTTCTGTTTTTGTTCTCATATTTTAGGAAATTATGAAAGGTCTATCTGCAGATAAAAATTTATATTTTAAGTGACTCAAGAAAAAAATACAACACATGTCATGGACAAGTCATCATTACTTTAATCTGACCTTAGCATGGCCTTAAAAAAGAGGAGTAAAACTTCTGCCTGTTCCGGACTAGCAGGCTGACACAGGCTTAGAAGCAGCGAGATGAACGTAAAGGCTTTAATTAATAAACTGAAACTAACAGCATTAAGAGGAAAATGGGCCATGCAATCATAAGACAAAGAACCCAGTCATAGACAAGGTCAACCTAAAGACCTTAATAACAGCAACACTAAGAAATCCACAAGTCCAGTTCAGTTTATTTAAATAACACAAATTTATAATACCTCATCTCTAGCCTTGACAGCCAGACTGAATTAGACTCTGTGTAATTCATTCTGATAAACCGCTCTTGACTTCGGCTAAATCTGTCTTGACAATCACAACACCGGAGGAATGACTCTCAGTGCCAGACTTACCCACAATGCAGCTGTGCTTTTCTGAAAGCATAACAACAAACTGCCGACCACAACGAAGCAATAACGTAAAAGAAAGCAAACCTTGTATCCTCAGATTCCTTGTGCAAACTTGCCTGAAATCATTAAATGTAAACGGTGTGGGAGGAAAGAACATGGTGCAAGAAAACGCATTAAAATTGAATATCAATGAATTTTTTTGCACCATGTTTTTTTCTTTCAGACTGTTTACATTGTATTAACACTGCACAGTATCAAATGGAAATGTCACGAAAGCTGTACAAAACAAAAAATTGTTTTGTATACACTCTGTGTATACAAAATGACAATAAAAGTTGTCTAAGTCTAATAGAGAGTTTCTTTGACATATTTCAAGGACAACAAAATTACTAAAACAGACAGCGTTGTTTGGAGTTATTGCATCATATCCTGAGTTATCTGATTGGTTCTAACCTACCTTTAAAATCAAGCTCTGCAGCTCTTTACCAGACAACGCTTACAGCCTGTGTATATATATCAGTATCGTATCAGTCTGGCTGGCCAAGCTACCTTATGTTAGGGTACTTTACAAAGACAATACAATTAAGCTTTACGGTCAGATTGGGTAAAAGTTTTCCCTCTAAGGAAACCTAGCTGGTTCCATTGCAGCATTATCTTCACCTGGATGAGCATGTGGCAACAGCAGACATTCGCTTGCATTTTGCTGTTGTTACTACAGCAATCCCTGGAGATAACAAATAATAACCAGAAGTGAAAAAGCTGTATAATTGATATTTTATTTCCTTGGGAACATGAAGGCCAATTTGAAACATGGTGTCATGTTGGGGTCTAAGCGTCTAACCCACATGCAGATACACTCTCAGACAGGGGAAAAAGTTAAATCATTTATTTACAAGGTTTACAGAGAAATGTGCACTGGATCTTGGCTCGGCAGACTGGTCACAGGAAGGAAGCACTAGAGGAGGACAGATCAGTTAGAGAGGTTCCAGGAGACTTGCAGTTCAACGGTGTGTTGGGTCAATACCTGCTCAGAGGGTTATCTGAACAGCAGGGGGGGAAATCTTGTGGGTCCAGAGGCTGGTCGGCAGGCTGAGGGCAGAGGCAGAGACGGAGGACAGACAGGCAGGTTCCAGGAAGCAACTGCTTTCTCCAGGATCAGGCAGGTTTCCAGATAAGTCAGGATCTGAGAGGCAGAAGAACACAGGGTCAGATTGTTCACAAAAATCAAGTTTACAGATCTGAGAGGCTGGCTCAGGTTTGCTGTACCATTACTGGCAAACACTCTGGCAGGGAAGTGTCAGCCTCCTCCCCCTTAAAAAGGTCTCCTGATGAGCAGATGGAAATCAGGTGTGTAGAAGTCAGCTCATGCCCTCAGGAGGAAGATCTCCGGCGCCCTCTGGTGGAGAAAGTTAGACAGCCTCCAGATCCCAACACATGGATTCCATTTTTGTCTTAGAGAAGAGACATGAATATAGGAGAAAAAGGATTCAGGTTGCACACACTGTATGGGAAAAAAAAGCATCAAGTAATTACAAAATAGATGAGGTTATACCCTAAACAAGGGAACTTGTAGCAAATAGATTTCTTTGAGACGTCAAAATGAAAAAATAAAAAACTCCAAAGATCAGTCACTACCATAATAGAATGTGTTTATATAAGGCTGTTTTTGTCATTATTAGCAGTTCCAAACATCTACCATCTATTTTTGTTGTATTTTCAGTAGCAATAGTAGTAAAGTAGTAGTAAAAGCTGGTCCATTCATTAATCATTGGTAAATGGAAGGACCATTAACCAAAGATTCAGGTTTAATTGTCACTGATGATAAAAGGCAACTTGTGTTATATCCTCATGAACCAGGTTTTTCTAAAGGTCAGCACCAACTGATTACTGACCAAAACCTCATTCTGACTGTTTTACAGATAAATATTATTCTGGTATTATCCTGGTGAGCCCTGCCCATCCTGTGACTGAGGGAGATCCTGTTACTCTGAGCTGCGGAGATAAAGAACAAAAACTTCTCTCCAATGTGTTTTTCTATCACAATAACAAACTGATCCACAATGACAGCAGAGAGGAGCTGAAGATCTCTGCAGTGTCAAAGTCAGATGAAGGTTTCTACAAGTGTAAACATTCAAGAAAGGAGTCACCACAGAGCTGGATGGCTGTAAGAGGTGAGGAGGATTAAAACACTCGATGATTTTATATCTATCCACTCACTGTGAGCTCTGGAGTGCAAAAAATTGCCATGTAATCTAGACTGTTGTCCCTAAAGATGCTAAGGCCTCAGAACATTTTGTCCAGCCATTTATGGCTGAAAAGATCATTCTTTAAATAAGACTTCTTCTTATAGTAAAGAAAACAAATGACACAACTTAAACTTTAACATGATTTAATCAAAGTTTAGCAGAGGAATGGTATAAGCATGCATTTTTTTGAGTCCACCATGTCTCTCTCTATCTGATACGTATGTCATCATTACTTAAGACCTAGTCCTACTTTAAGTGGCCTGCAGCCCTACTGCCACCTGACTGTTGACATGTGTTCCCTTACCATGACCTAGTGACCTCTCCAATTAAGATGATTACTCTTCTAATGACAAAAAGAGATCTCTGCTTCAGCTACTGCTGATGAAGATTAAACATAACAATAAAAGTTATACCTTATAGTGTTATACTATGAGAAGCAAAAACTATTTTGAATCTGTAAAAAATTACACAAATAACTTATTTTTAACAGCCAGTGTATTTTAGGATTTAACAAGCCTTCTTGTGATTGATACAGTTTAATCCCGACAGTCTTAAAGGTTCTTATTTTTTTCTAATTTTTTGTAAAAAGTTTTTTTTTATTTTTTATTTTTTTATATATAGTACATTAATTCAAGTCCTAATCTTGTAAAGAAACAAACAAGACAAACAAACTATATTTTTAATGAGTTCAACATCAAGGAATGTAAAAACCTTAATCAGCCAGAAAAAGACATAAAAAAGAGCTTCAGGGGATTTTCAATCGGAAACCATTGTTTGTTCAACAACATGCCTTTTTGAAATTGAGTCAAAAGCACAAAAATGCTGTTTCAGCATAGTTCGGTGTGCTTTATTTTAATTTACAGAATTCCTTCAAATATGCATGACCTGGCCTTATAAAACTTCAAAGCTATGCAAAAATACACAAAAACTGATAACTAGATTAATACCAAATTAATCAATGTCTTATTACTAGTTGCTGGTTCCAGTGTTGTCAGCTCTTCCTTTTCGCCACTGCTGATCGCTGGACCGCTTGTAGGCATCCTTCTTATTGTCCTCCTGCTACTGTTGTGGCGCTACAGATGGTTCAAAGGTGAGATCTATTTCTTCTCAGACCGGATCAGATAAATACATTAAATCCAACTATTGGATCAAACACATAACTGCAATTTTAAACTTCAGCAAAAACTAGCTACATTATCTTTTGAACAAAACCTTGATATGATCTTTACTCTCTTTTATAGATTTATGGTGCATAAGGTTGGTACTTGACATGTTTGCATTTAATCCCAAACATGTATCAGCAAGAGGTTATTAAATAACATTTACTGTTTTCAATGTGTTTCAGCTCCAACCTCCCAGCAAGCAGCAATCAGAGATTCAACAGTAATAATGATGTCAACCAAACTGCAAGTCATGAATACAAGTCTCTTTCTCATGGTCAGAGCTTGGTATTGTTATTTAGATGTGATGTGTGATATGTTTTTTTTTTCTTTCAAAAGGAGAAAGACATTCTGACACTTAATAACAGAGAAAAACAGAAAACAAAAATTCTGACATTATTATCCTATATGGTTATTTTGCCTGTTTATTTAACATACATTCGGGAATATCATGTAAAGTTCACAGAAGTTTAATTAGCTAAAGAGAGGCCATCCTGCTATTTTATTCAAAANGTTCACAGAAGTTTAATTAGCTAAAGAGAGGCCATCCTGCTATTTTATTCAAAATAGTCATACTTTAATTTGTCATAATTTCATTTCATTTTTTTAGTTGTTAAAAAAAACAAAAAAAAAAACTGTACACCACATTTTGACTTTCTGTACAACTTCAGCCCAATAACAGTTTTCACCACTAGAGGGAGATAACTTGAAGTGAGCACATTCACCTACAGTAGGGGGAAATGGGCATTCAGAAAAGGTTTTTTCTTTCAGAACAGCATATAAAGGGTGTTTTCGATTTCAGAGGCTGCGTCCTCCAAGGACCCAGTCCAAGTAGACCGGGTCCTTGGAGGTCTGAAAATAAGGAGGCCAGAAGAGTTTTGGCTATGGATTCAAGCTGGTCCAGCCTTCTCTGGCTTACACTGCAAGTACTCTCTGTCGCCTAGCAACCGTAACAGTTGACACACAAAGCAGGCAAAGAATGGATATGGAACTTCTCAATACTGTTCTGGGTGCTAATTTCATCTTTGAGGAGCTTCAGCAGCAGTACAGTTGTCGCAAATATCATATTTATAGTCCCTACATTGAAGATATATTGGAATCTGAGCTTAAATGTCAGCCAAACCCATTTGCACAGGGATAGATTTAACCTTTCAATAAACCGAATATTAAGTGCCACATATCTGGCTAAATAACCATTTAAGACTATTTTCATTAATTTCAGATGGACCTATTCACATACTTGTATTATACTAAACTGCACTTCCAATATTCACCACTGTTCAGCGCCATTTACCTTTTCCTCTAAGCACGGAGTAGCCGGCTTTCTGGGCTTGTAATGAATCCTGGGATATCCAAGGCTACATAGGCTACTTCCAATCTGAACAGGCCCCTGCGCCACCCTATGACGTAACCGGCTGATGAATCTGGCCCTTGGAAGACGCAACCCTGAATTTGAATTTAGCAATTGAGAAACAGCCCCACTCCATTAGTCTGAATGCCACAAAGAAGAAAACAAGCTGGTGTAATGATGTATTGCAACTGTGGTCATTTTACAGGTAAAATTGTAAAAACAATAATCAATAAATCTATAGCATGCAAGTAGTAAAAGTGAGACTGGATGACTATTTATTTTCATGTGTATACTGACTGTGGACACTATTAAGAGTGCTTTCATACTTTCATATTGGCTGAAGGCTAATGGGACANGACACTATTAAGAGTGCTTTCATACTGTATATTGGCTGAAGGCTAATGGGACAAGGGCGATACAAGGGTATGTTGTGCTATTTAATATATAGCTGGATGTAATATTGAGGAGCAGTAGATCAATTGTGTTGTACCGTTATAGTTTACATATTAACACTTGTGGCCAGAGTTATTCAATAAAAAGAACCTACATCTTTCAGTTGGTCTGAATGCAATGAAGAAGATAACAAGCTGGTGTACTAATGTACATCAACTGTAGTTATTTTTTTAGACAATAAACTACACAAAATACACCTGGAGTCCGGTCAGTTCTTCAAGGGTGTAACTCTATTAGAACCTGTTACATGTTTTTGTCTCTTCTTTAGGTGATAGTCATCTCTACGAGTCAGTAAAATCACCCGGAACAGCAGGAAATGGTAATTTTTTTTTTAAACCATATTACATAATGAGTCTGATCATCAGAAACATTTATGTTACCATTATTCTATTTGCAGATGGATCTGGAGATGTTATGTACTCTGTAATTGAACTGAAAAACTTCAGACCAAACAGTGAGTTCCAAATAGATGCTTAACATTATGATACCACTGAAACGTTCTAAAAGACAGGTCTTGTTGATTTTTTGGTTATTTTAACAGGGAGGCATCGTGGAAGAAATGACTGTGTTGTTTACTCTGAGGTGACTGATGGAGCAGGTAAAATTAGCTACAATACTTAGTTTTTGTGAGGCAAAGCAAAGCAAGTTTATTTTTGCAAGAAAATATGCATGAAAAAAGAAAAGTACATTACAGGGTTATATCAGCAATACAAATAGTTAATGAGAATAACAGTGATATATCATACTAAGAGGATTATATATTAAAAAAATAAAATAAAATGACTAAGAGAATGGAATGAAGGCCAGACTTGAAACTTAATGAATAACGTTTTGACAGAATCGTGAAAGGCCACTCTAAACAAATGTGATTTTTTATTAGCTGGTAAACCAGACTAGATGTTAGATTAAATGTGTAATTTAGTCTGGCCCCAATGAATGAGACATTGGAAGACTGTTGATGAGAACAACCTGTTGTCTTTCAAACCGCTGTCTGTACCTATTGGCCAACGTCCTGACCAATGAACGCAACTAACTGTGATGTAGTAAGTACGACAGGAAGCTGGTGGGGGAGTGTAAACAAACAGCTTGTCGGCAAAGGGCGGATTATACTTNAGTCATACTTTAATTTGTCATAATTTCATTTCATTTTTTTTTTTTTGTTTGTTTAAAAAAAAAAAAAACTGTACTCCACATTTTGACTTTCTGTACAACTTCAGCCCAATACCAGTTTTCACCACTAGAGGGGGATAACTTGAAGTGAGCACATTCACCTACAGTATGGGAAAATGGGCATTCAGAACAGGTTTTCTTTCAGAACAGCATATAAAGAGTGTTTTCGATTTCAGAGGCTGCGTCCTCCAAGGATCCGGTCTACTTGGACTGGGTCCTTCGAGGTTTGTGAAAAAAGGGAGGCCGGAAGAGTTTTGGCCATTGATTCAAGCTGGTCCAGCCTTCTCTGGGTTACACTGCAAGTACTCTCTGTCGCCTAGCAACTGTAACAGTGGACACCCAAAGCAGGCAAAGAATGGATACAGAACTTCGCAATGCTGTTCTAGGTGCTAATTTCATCTTTGAGGAGCTTCAGCAGCAGTACAGTCGTCGCAAATATCATATTTATAGTCCCTACATTGAAGATATATTGGAATCTGTGCTTAAATGTCAGCCAAACCCATTTGCACAGGGATAGATATTACCTTTCAATAAACCAAACATTAAGTGCCACATATCTGGCTAAATAAACATTTAAGACTATTTTCAATAATTAAAGATGGAGCTATTCACATACTTGTATTATATTAAACTGCACTTCCAATATTCACCACTGTTCAGCACCATTTACCTTTTTCCTCTGAGAACAGAGTAGCCAGCTTGCTTGGACTTGTAATGAATCCTGAGATATCCAAGGCTATGTAGGCTACTTCCAATCTGAACAAGCCCCGGCGTCACCTTATGACGTAATCAGCTGATGAATCTGGCCCTTGGAAGATGCAGCCCCTGAATTCGAACTCAGCAATTGAGAAACAGACCCACTCCGTTGGTCTGAATGCCACAAAGAAGAAAACAAGCTCGTGTAATGATGTATTGCAACTGTGGTCATTTTACAGCTAACATTGTAAAAACAATAATCAATGACCCTATAGCATGCAGGTGGTACCACTGAGACTGGATGACTATTTTCATGTGTATACTGACTGTAGACACTATTAAGAGTGCTTTCATACTGTATATTGGCTGAAGGCTAATGGGACAAGGGCGATACAAGGGTATGTTGTGCTATTTAATATATAGCTG